TGATACATGATTTCCAAAAGAGAAGTAAAATGTCTATAAGTTTAGATGCCTACAATTTTGTTCTGTGTGGTCCTGTGCAAGAGCTAATATTCTATGACTACCAGATTCAAAACTTTGTAGTGCTAAAAACTGAGGTTCTGCCTAGACAAAGACAAGGAAAGAAGATGGAACTGTACAAGGCCTGGGTAATCATCAAGAAGCAAAGCAACTGCATTCTGACAGCAAACTGCACCTGTATAGCAGGGTATGCAAATGAATAATTTTACATTTCATTCCAAGCATTCAGTGTCTGCAGTTTAATTCTCCATATTTAACTGTTTTTGCTGAAATCATTGCTGCAATAAAAAACTAGTAATGTGTATGATTTAGCATAGTGTGAACTTACCTGATATAAAATGAGAACTGCAGAGTCAAGCATTTTTAATTAGGTCCTCACTCCATTCAGCTCTTATGATGGCTGATAGCCAAAGACATTTGGGGTTGGCATTAAAAGCAGTGTGACATACGGTAAAATTTAAGTTTTTTATTTTTGGCGAATTTGGGGCCAATACCAAAAGACAACCCTTTTCAATGTGGCATCAATTTCAACATTCTGTGGGTATAAACAGCTGGTATTGTCAGTAAGTCATTTCAAGTTCATCATTCAAAGAGTCATAAACACACAACGTCACTTAATGGACGAGCAGCGCCACTGGCCATGGCACACCTTCAGGTCGGTGGCAGACAGTCTGATGCTGCTTGTAAAAGACAGGTCTCCATGACACATATTTTCTCTTGATGTCCCACAAACAGGAATATCAAAGAGCTGTTCAACTTTTTTGCTTTCTGCTTTGTTTGGATAACCGTATTTCTACTGGCTATATGGGAAAAATGTCAAAGCTCAAAAGTTGAACCAGTTCGATTATCAATGGCGCACTTTGCTGCTTGTGCACTTTGGTCAGTGCTACAACAAACCACCCTTGAGCAGTGCAAGCCATTCAAACGAATGGGTTTCATAGCACAACACTTTCCGCAACCAGTGTGAAAGCTGCTTTATCCTGGGTGAAGCTGATGATGGGGCATGAGAACTACCATGAGAAGTGGCAATATAAGGAATTCCTCCCTTAATGACATAGACTAATGTCCGTAAAAACAGACAACCTAAAACTAGTACCAAGTCAGATATATGATATAATGTAGGACAAAGAAAATCTCTGCCTTAGGTGCAAATATATCTTAGCAGCTGGTCTATAATTTGCAAAACCCAGGCTAACTTTGATTATGTACCCCTATATACATTTCTGGAGAGCAAAATACCTCCCACGTGCTACTTTTCTTGCAGTTTTGTCGTGCGAATCCACCAGAGGTTGCTGTGTATGCTTTTTAAGATTTCAAATTTCTCTCACGAGTGCTATTCATGTCTGCTGTTCTTGCGTAAATCCACCAGACGTCATTGCTGACTGACTGTCGACTGACTGCATGACGGACTAACTGACTAATCGACTGACCCACCCTTCCGCTTCCCTAACCCCAACCAATAGTGTTTTAAAAAGCACAGATTTATTCACCCACCCCCTTCCCCAAACTAAACGGCAGTGTTTTAAAAAGCAATCCAGAAAAAAAAAGCCCTCGCCTGATTTTCCTCGCGTGGTTCCATCCCAAAGAGGGAAGAAATCAATTTCCCGAACTCTCGCGCTCAATCTGCCCAGTTGGTGGAATGAACTCCCTAACTGCATCAGAACGGCAGAGTCACTCACTAAGTCTTCAAAACAATAAAAAACGACTTAAAACTTAACTATTTAGTCTCCACTTTCCTTACTAATCTGCAATTCCCTTTCTGACCCCTCCACTAACTACAATAATAATAATAATAAAAAAATACTACTGTTTTGCTTCTTACACTTTCTTTGCAAACCTGAAACTTGCCTATAGCACTTATTTATTGTTGCTTTTATAGTTGTGTAAATTGCTTTCTTGTCCTCATTTGTAAGTCGCTTTGGATAAAAATCATCAGCTAAATGACTAAATGTAAATGTAAATGATTTTACCACATTCTCACCCTGTTGTTTATGTTTATTTTATTTTTTAGCGTTTGTTTTTGTGTTACCTGCTTTATGGAACAGTTCTTTACTGGACTTAAACTCCATTGTCGTGATCAACTCTGCTCTGCGTCTCAAGTTTGTTGATGTACATGACGAGCTACTGGACAAACTGGTAACAGTGGAAAAGCAGTCCATACGGAGGTAAGTGATCAACAGGTAAGCGAGAAAAGGAAAGGCGTCACACCGCCCCGTATCGTTTGTATTAAAGATGAAATGCAACCATACATCGCTCTGGCTACATAATTTGCGGTCTCCTGAAATATATAGGGCTATTTTAGATTTGCATGAGTAACACTGTAAATAGCACAGATTGATACCCTCCCTTTAAGATCGACTAGGACCCTGGGTCTATATTATTTACTGTGCAGCTAGTGTTAGTAAAAAATATTTCTTTATTTTTATTTGTTTAACTAAAATTGCCTTTCCATTTATATTTCAGTGTGCATTTTACCTGATCCATTGTGTAAATTACATTTGACAATTAAAAAGAAAGAAGTCAAACTAAAATCAAGACATGAAGAAAAAAAAAGTCACTGACAACAACTGTTTTTCGCTTCCCCCCCATATATGATGGACAGCTTGCAGGTGGGTTCATGCCTCAGTGCGCTAGCGTGCTTATCTGAATGTCAGCAAGGGTGATTAGTGGAAAACTATGGAAATCAAAAATGCTAATTAATCTGCCTCACAGACGAGGAGGCGCATTAAAATTCACAGATCTCTCAGTCGAGAGACGTCAGGCTTTAATTGTAAGGTGGAGGGTTAAGTTGCCTTTACGTGAAGTTAAGATAAAATCGCATCGCAGAACATGATTACATAACAGCCAAATCAGAAACTTCAGATGCTACAATCAAATCTACTAAAGATTAAATATCGATGTCTATCTGACATATTTACATTGCAAGTTTTAACAATTGGTCTGCCATCTCAATTAGAACTGGCCTATTTTATGCATATCAGCTGTACAACCGCACTGAAGTAACGTGTTAGTAAACAGATTTATTTCTTATAGTGAATCTGAAACAAGAGATTGGAGTCATATGTGAGTTTTAGATAAACACTCGACTGCTCGACTTGTCTTTGGGGAGATGTTCTCTGTAACCTGGCCTGACGCCAGCTCATGGTTTCTGTGATGATGATTCCTCTCAGCGGCACGCGGCTGAAGACCGCTCGTCTCTAAGTGCCACCGTTTCACAGCACAGCTCCCAGCAGACTCAAAGTGCTAAAAGCAAACACTCACAGTCCTGCAGAGCTCTGACCCTCCTTCTAACGGCCTGCTTTCTACCCTTCCCCCTAACAGCTGAGAGCGTGTGAGCTAAAGCGGAGTTGTAAAGATCCCAAAATTTTAAATTAAAAGGGGATATAATGTTTTTTAAACTTCAATTACAAGTTAGACAGTGTGGTTTAATTTTCACTGCTGAAAGTCCAAACACTGAAGAGCAAATCCATCAATGTGCAGCTCCCAAAATAAAGATGAAAATAAAAATCCAAGTTGTTTGCATCAGATATAATCCACATCATAAAAGAAAACATAGCAACTTACGTTATATAACTTTATAATTAGGAGGTAATGTATTAAACTGGGCATTACGGTGGCGCAGTGGGTTGCACGATCACCTCACAGCAAGAAGGTCGCTGGCTCTAGCCTCGGCTGGGTCAGTTGGCATTTCTGTGTGGAGTTTGTTTGTTCTCCCTGTATTCGCAAGGATTTCCTGCGGGTGCTCTGGTGTCCCCCACAAATCCAAAGATATGCAGTATATGTAAATTGGATAAGATAAATTTTCCATAGTGTGTATGTGTGTGAATGAGTGTGTATGGATGTTTTCAAGTGATGGGTTGCACCTGGAAGGGCATCGGCTGCTTAAAACATATGCTGGATAAGTTGGTGGTTCATTCTGCTGTGGCAACCCCAGATTAATAAAGAGACTAAAGCAGCGGTCTCAAACTCCAATTGGACGGGGGCCATTTCAGTGACTACTTTACATTCCAGTGACTATATATTTTACAGTGGGGTTTGGTGTTTGGTATGATCCTCAAGATCGCTTCATGATCCTTATGACCCCTTAAGACTGGGGTTGGGTGGCAGTTGATGCTTATGATCGCGTGAAATGCTGACCGGTGTGGTAGGGGAGGGTGTTTGCATGATGCTTATGATCGAGTGAACTGATGACTTGGGGTGGGGGTGTTGGGATGACCCTTATAATCGCGTAAAATAAAGACCTGCTCTGACAAAGTCCCATACATCAATAGTCTTTTCTGATCTTCCCTTTAACAAACGGCCAACAAATCCCCCATTGCAATTTAGTATGATCTTCTATGTGAAGCTGCTTTGACACAATCTACATTGTAAAAGCGCTATAGAAATACAGAAATAATTGAATGCAATACAAAAATTACGGGAACACAGCTGAGGCTATAATGCAGAGGAATTTTTGCAAAAATGAACCTCAACCACTGACTCTTCACAGTTTCATCTTTGGGTAGAGAAAATAACACTAACTTTGCCCTCATACTTCCAATAATATCCAGCTGAGTACAGCATCTACACAACTTGATTCAACCGGGATCTGCTACAGTGTTTGTCTTCCTCTTTTTCTTTGCTTCAGTGTTTGTGAGTGCGCAAAAATTGGACGGGGCTTAAGTTTCGCATCAACATCACGTCGAAATGCCTAAAGACTCGATATGAAGTAATTTGAAGCACTCCCGAGTCCACTCTTATAGATCAATCAATAGTTTTAAACACTTTGCACTTTCAGATTTAAGCCTTAGCTGGATATTTCACTTCACTTAAAACTGTTACACACTACATGGAAGGTCATTTTCAAAAACCCCTAATAGGGGCTCTTTAAAATAACCCATATGTGAAGCCACCTTAAAAAAAGGTCTTCTAACAATTCTTTAACAGAATCATGTAAAGTTTACCTGCAAAAGCACTGTGGGATTTCTCCAAGGCCATAGAGGGGGAACAGGAAGGGAGTGTTGCCGTAGCGACCCAGGCATCGCAGGAAGTGCTGTGTGGCCTTTAGTCCTTCCTCCGTGAGGGTCTGTTGCGTCACCATAGCGATTGAGAGCAGGACAAAATCTTGAAGGTTCTCAGTGAGCTTCTTATTCTTCAGGAACTCACTAAACGGTTTCTCTGAGTAATCTAAAAAACAATTTTGAAACTATTATTGCAAAGATAAAAATGAAGACAACCTGATAAGATCTACTAATAGACGTATTACTGCAAAAGATAGAATGAAATACAAGAGCAAAATCACAGGAGTAGCAGTGCGATATGGCTGTATATCCGCACTGGTAGGACGCATGAATTGACTCATGAATTGTAGACAAGAACAAAAGAAGCGTGGTGCGCTTTTTTATGATGCTAGGCAACAACTATATCAGTTGGGTACTGTTCGGGAGTGTCACTGTTGATATTAATATAATTTCAATAATTAATAATATTGTGAGATTCATGATTTGTAAAGTCACAGCTCTGGATAACCCAAAACAGCAACCACAAGTCTCTTCTAAGTCTTCAAAAGTCTCCATCATTGTCTTGACAACACAAACACTGCAGGCACCCTTAATGAAAACCCCGCCTCTGCTTTCCTTTGATTGGAGAAGGAAAAAGACGCAAGTGATGTAACACGCTTTTTCCGTTCAAAGTTTTTTCAATTGAGAGCGCATGGCGCACAAGTGCAAAAACACAAGGCGCAGCAGGCGGTTAAAATGCAAGGACCGCAGGGTGCTCGCGGCCGTTAGTAAACCATTCAAAAGAGGCATCACTCAACGCATAAACCGCATTCAGTGTGATCGGCCCTTTAAGCTGCCATTCAACTGCACACGTCAAAGGACAAGCGACCAACCGGTAGTCATTCATTTCCAATGGAGAGTAGTCCGGGAGAGCTGTTCCTGATCATCTCTGTATGCAAAAAATTCGGATCAGATTTGAGCTGCAGATATGTTGAAATATTTGAACTCCTGCGACTATACTGTATGCAACTGGCCGACTGAATGTGAGGTATTTCAGTGTTGTCCAAGCAGGTCCATGCGCACAATATGAGAAATATATTTTTTTCAAATCAGAAAAAAAGTCTAAAAAAAAAAAGCATTTTTATTCATTATTGAATAATACAAATATATTTTTTAATGTAGTCTCCACATTCCCTCCAAAATGCTTGAGTTCCTAGTATTCATTCATTCATTGATTCAACCATGGTGATTGCTCAAAGAATAAACAGAGTTCATACACACTGAAACATTGGTTGCACAACATATCGTTTCAGCTTTTTTTTTGAACACAAAAAGAATATAATTTAATAACTACTATAGTATTGAAACAAGTGAAGTGTGAGTAAATAGTAAGTACATTTTAATCTTTGGGTAAACTGTCCCTTTAAGGCCTGTGACTGTGTGAACATTTCAATATTTCAATTTTACAACATCCATCCACATGAAATATTTAGTAACTTTAATAAAGATGAAATAATATACAATGAAGATTGATTGTTGAAGTGTTGATTTTTCAATATCTGTACCTGAATAGTGAATACCTGAGAACTATAATTCCCTTTTATCTTTACTATATTTGATTTATCTATGCATGTAATTTATTTGTTCTATATTATTTGAGATTCACTCCAATAGAAAATCCCCCAATCAATCCTAATAAACCTGTTAAATCATTTGGAGAAATTGTATTCACATCGCAATATATATCACAGAAATACAAAATATCGAAAAGTCAGATTTTTCCGATATCGTGCAGCCCTAATTTAAGTATACAGATAGTTGTCAAACTAATTTCCATAACTTTTCCAAAACGTTGTGGGTTTTTCTGCTTTTCCAAAACTTTTCTAGGCCTGGAAAATGCCATGTCAAAATTCCAAGACTTTTCCATGACCATATGAACCATGAATAAAGGCTCATGCTTTTCCCCTTTATTTATTTCGAACACTGCAAGAATCAGCTTTTCTCCTATGGTGCACGACAAAGCTGAAAAATCGGTGCGACTGCCACAAGGGGGCGTATTCCAACAGTCATGTCTAAACATCGTGTTGAGTGGACAGATGGCTTTAGTGCCCCACACCAGTGATGATATACAGCCATATCGCACTGCTACAAGTGTGATATTGCGTTTATACAACAGTTTGATGGCATAATCATGTTTATAAAACAGAAAATCTAACACGGAGAGACTCAAAAACCCTTTTGTAAGAAGAACTACTTTCTTCCACCATTTGTTCACATCTGTAGCTGATGGTCAGAACAGTAGAAACCATTGCTCATTCACCAACGTCACTTTATAGCTAATATTTGAATGATTCTCGACTGTATTATCTAAAGTGATGACCATACAGGTAATTTTGCTCACATTTTAGATTATAAGGCTGAGTATTTCTCTGTTGCAATCTGGAGATCACAATAATTAAACCCAAAAAGCCAAAGCAAAGCAAACACTAGCAGATTACTATGGCATAAATACAGCACTACAAAATAGAAAAGAGAGGGATCGACTTAGAATGTCACTTACCTGCTTTATAATGATTTGATCAGCTGTAGTTTTTTAAGAGTATTTTTCTGGAGTTTTTCGCCCCTTATGCTGCGTTCACACCAGACGCGAAGAAGTGTCAAGCGCAAGTGATTTACAAGTTATGTCAATGCAAAAACGTGAATAGACATCCTGCGGCGCGATACAAGCAAATGAGGTGGCACGAATGATGCTATTCGCACAAATGAAGCGACATTTTACTGAAACGCTCAAGTTAGAAAATCTAAACTTCAGCAGACATTTGCGCTGTGTTAACCAATCAGGAGCTTGCTTTTGTAGGGGAGTGATTATGACGTAGCACCTGTTGTTGGTGTCTCGGGGGGAATCCTCCTGCTGACACCGGACACATCTCATCAAACTGGGCTTGGTTTGAAAACTTTCATCATCCAGGTATAGTTTCTGGGGAAGTTTATGAACTTACAGAGCTGGGTGCACATCAGAAGGAATCTAGTGGACTCAGACACAGCTCCAAAGAATCGAAGCTGTTTTTCAGCCTTCCTAAAGAACATAAACAGGTATTCTCTCAATTAAATTCATATTAGCCATTTAGCAAGGAAGCTAGACTCGCTGGGCAGACAGAAGTCCAGCCCATGACGTGAAGTGAATTTGATGCACAAATAAAGCGGTTTTGATGCATGAATGAAGCGTGTAAACTCAAAATTTTCACGCGTCCATTTAGCATGACTTATCTTTGCGTACCGCATCTGATGTAAACACAGCATAAGGACTTATTATGTGGTCTCTGTTGCCATGTTGTGGTAAAATGTCAACCCTTTTTGCTCTCCTAAGGATTCCAGGCTGATGGCCGCTGATGTTAAAAATTGTAAATATTTATAATAAGCATCATCCTTCTAAATAAACTGCATAATTGCAATCTAAACAAATACTTTGTCACCTAAAAAAGCCTCAAAAGTATGTTATGTTGTCCAACAGCAGCTATATTTGTCAAAATGTAGTAAGTTTATTCATCTGCTGTCAATTTATGTATGCGGAGTAATACACAAGGGTGAAGAGGCTGTAGGAGTGCTGTTATTACGAGAATATCACACAGCTATCAGTTAATCAGATTAGAGAACCAGACAGAACTGTTGTATAAACTATTATAGCATGTTCCTCAGTTTTTATGCATATTTTAAACACAAAGTGATTAAAAGGTAATTTGCAGCTCTAATCTCTATTTAACCGAGTACACAGACATTCTGATTGATTATAACCTTTGGAGAGAAAAACACAGATGCTGGAACAGATACTATTTATATGCCTTTATAAATAGTATGAAAGGCTGTGTATATGGCTATACTGTGTATATGAAACATGCGATTGACCTTTGCGCAATTTGACCTGAACTTAATAAATCTACATATTTGAAAACAGTAAAAAAAAATTCACTCTGTGTAAAATGCACAATGGAACTGCCTTAAATTTGAAACATTCCTTTCTGGGGTGCATTTCCCAAACAACGACATAACTTGCAATTAAACTATCATAGTACAATGCATCTTTTGGGAAAATAACGATGTGGTGATGTGGGCTTTCCAAAACCCGTAGTTTCTTTGTTGCAGATCTATCATTTAAACCACATTAGTTATAACGTAAATCGGCCATATAGACGCTCTAAACTGGGTGGAGTAACAACTTCTTTAGAAAAAAAAAATAAAAAATCGATAATTTCTTTGTGCAAATTATTTTGTTTTACATGCACACGTATAAAAAAAAAACCAACAATATTCGTTTCGGTGAAAACATACACTCGTTTTCCATATTAATTGGAATATATGAAAATGGCGCATATAGAGCTTATGGTTCCTTTATAAATATTACTGGGAACATTACATATTGTATTCTAAAACATAAAATCACTTACAAAAGATAACACCTATTCTAATCTTATATACAAATCATCTAAATAAATAAATAAATAATTAGGTTATTTATTAAGAAAAGAAATTTAATATTTATTATGTATTAGGAAATGAATTTCTACTTAAATAATAATAATAATAATAATAATAATAATAATGATTATTATCAAGTAGGATATTGTTTGTTTGTTTTTTTAAGAGTCTACTTGTACAATTGGACAGATGCAAACCACTGCAGAAATGCTCTAACCAACAGGCCCATGTCATATACAGTACAGATACTTAATAAATGACCTACTATAAATTAAAGGCATTAACGTATGCCATGTTTTGTCTTTTCACAATCTTTGGAGACGTAACAAAGTCCGCTTTTAAATAGTAGGTCACCTATAGCTTTCGTCATGAGCCACGGCTGTGTTCAAAATTACATAAATGTTTTCAAAGTGCACTACAAAGGCAACTCAATTGTAATCATGAAGATCGCTAAAACTGAACTGTAAAAATACTTTGAAAGCAAATTAGAGAGATGACCTTAATGCTTTTTCAAAATAATTTCTAAGTTTAAACGTTGGAATGTTCTAAATGAATAGGGCTTAGGGGGCACACAGCCAGGAACTATGTTTCTAACTACAGCTCCAGAGGTGTAGTCGCAAGTGCACAAGTTTGCGATGCAGTTTGTGAATGTTTGTTGGAATGATAGATTTGGGAAATGCCAAATGACGGAACTTGTGACCTTAGTAGGCTAACAATGGTTTTCAGAAACGCACCCCCGGGTTGAGACGCATAATAAGGAATTGATGCATTTATATTTAATATTTATAACTATTGGCATAAAAGGTCTTTATAATGCCACAGCAGGCCATACAAATGCTCATCACAAACTAGTTTTACTTATGTATGTAAAAATAAACATATTTCCTATTTTTATTTATGCTTTCTTTTACTTATAATTATAGTTTTATTGCAATTTGCATGGTATGTACATACATTTTTACATTTAAATAAGTATTTTAAAAGGTGAATATTCACCTTTTAATAATTCAAAAATATTATCAAAAATACAATTATTCAAAAAGGTTGCTTTTTAAAAAAAAATCAGTTGAGTTTGGAATAAAAAAACAGCTATATGAAAATATACATTTTGATATTTACATAATTATTCATTGAAATCTGTGTGACATTGTGAAAGGGAAATAATGTGAATTTATGCATTGACCTTTGACTGGATTTCAGATGTTAGGCTACAACATAATTGATTAATAATGCTTCTCCTGTCCACAAATTCTGTCTTTGCAGTTGTTATGCACTGGTGAACTACACAGTAAGACCTTTATAACATTCATGTTAGTTAATTTTCGCTTTGGACAATGACTTAAATGTAAATGTCAGTTTGGAATTAATCTCAACTTTATTTTCAAAATTATACCTTTTATTTGATTTAACCTGAAAGGTACTGTACGTTAAGTATCTCTGACAGATCTCTGATGTAGCATGTAAACCAGAAGGCTGCAGGCAAACAAACACAAGGGGTCATACCCTGGTACTCCTCTGGGTGCTGCTCAAAGTCCAGACAGAAGGTAAGAAACTTCATCAGCATGCGCTTCTCCACCACGGTCAGCTGCTTGCTGGCAAACACATCTGCCCGTGAACATGGGACCTTCATTGGAGGAAGAAACAGGACAGAGCAGGTTAATGACGTGTTCATGTGAGATAAATATATATATAGCACTCACTCAGTACAGAGGGGGGTGTAACATTTGTGAGAAAAAACAGCTTACCTTTAGCCCTAAATTACTCACACAGATGGATTTTGTATTGCAATGCGGCATTTAGTGAAATGAGAAACACCTTTGGCGTCAAATGCTCTTATCAGGTACATTAGTAAATAGAAATGGAGGAATCGGGCGCAAAATCAATTTAATCATTTTTTTTATCTTGTCTAAAACGCTCCAATAATTTGAATCAGGATGCTTCAGGTTAGAGCTAAAATATAAAGCTGTCATCAGAAAAACACAAGGGATAGAGAACTTTGGATAGATAGACATGGATAATAGAAAGATAAATAGACAGACAGACACGGCAGGATTATAGAAAGACAAAAAAGGAAGGAAAGAAGGAGGGAAAAACAGAAAGAAAGAGAAAGGGGAGGAAGGAAAGACAGATAAAAAAGAAAGAAAGAAAGAAAGAAAGAAAGAAAGAAAGAAAGAAAGAAAGACAGAAAAAACAAAAAGAGAAAAAAGAAAGAACAAGAACAAAAAGAAAAAGAAAAAGAACAAAATAAGAACAACAAACGACAGAATAAGAAAGAACAAACAAAAGAAAAAAGAAAACACAGAAGATAAAGAATGAAAGAAAAAGACAAACAACAAAAAGTAAAATAATAAACAAAACAAAATAATTAAAAGAAAGAACAAAAGATAAAGAATGAAAGAAAAAGACACAAAGAACAAACAGAGCAAAAGAAAATTAAAGAATGAAAGAAAAAGACAAAGAACAAAAGAGAATGAAAGAACAAAAGATAAAGAAAGAATGAAAAAAGAAAGAACAAAAATAAATAGAAAGAACAAAAAAGAAAAAGGAAAAAAGAAAGAACAAAAAAGAAAAAGGAAAAAAAAGAACAAAAAAGAACAAGATAAAAAAACAAAGAACAAAAGGAAAAACTAAAAGAAAGACAACAAAAGAAAAAGAAAGAATGAAAAAAGACAAAGAACTAAAAAGAATGAACAAAAGAAAAGAACAAAAGAAAGAATAAGAGATAAAGAACAAAGGACAGAAAGAACAAAAAGGAAGAAAGAATGAACAAAAAAGAAAGAACAAAAGATTAAGAACAAGAGAAGCAACAAATGAGAAAGAAAGAAAGAAAGAAAGAAAGAAAGAAAGAAAGAAAGAAAGAATAGATATTAGATATATAAATAGACAGACACACAGGAAGAGATAGATAATAGACAGAAAGAAAAAGAAGGAAGAAAGGAAGGAAGGAAAAACAGACAGTACAAGATAAAAGAGAAGGAGGGGTAGAAGGAAGGATAGACAGACAGAGGAAGAAAGAAAGAAAGAAAGAAAGAAAGAAGAGACACATAATGCATCAATAGACAGAGACAAAGAAATACAAACAGAGAGAAAGAGAAAGATAACAGACAAGTAGGAAGGAAAGAGATAGAAAGATAGAAAAACAGATAGACTTAAAGATGTTTTCCTCAAATGACAACTGAGATTGGACATGATTGGCCTTAATGTAGCTGAAGAAAATACAACACTATCACAATCATTTAGCTAAAAATATCAGTTTCATACCTGCTCCACTTTTCCATTTCTGCAAGTGAGGATGCGGCCGATGTTCTTGAACTCTGCGTAGCGGCTCACATTAGATTTGATGAGCAGATCCACCAGTGCACCACGTGAATACATCAGCTTTGAAGAGGGTCAAAGAGAACACTATCAATTTCATTTTATTGCTGTCTAACTTCATTTAAAGCTAGACGTTAGGCTTCAATCACTATCTAACAGTATTTTAGTAAGTCATTGTAATTGTTTGAAGTAGTTATTCACACATGCCGGTGTAAACAGTGGTGATGGGTGACGTTGGGGTTGGGGTGAGTAGTTTTGTGACTGGCGCATGAAAAACTAATGATACCTGACAGATGCAATGTATTTGATTAAATTAATCTTATATCATTTGATGATAATAAGACATAATATGCTTCCAGTGAGCAGCTACTATGAAAATTAAAGCTTGCCTGGAAACAGTTATATGAATTTTTCAACACGATTTTTTAATTTAGTGGCTAATTCATACAATCTCATTCATACAAATTTAGCACAATTTGCTATTGACGGTTGGGTTTAGGGGTGGGGTTGGGTGCCACGCCTCCTTTTTAGTATTTTTTCGAGATTTGAACAGATTTGTTTGTTGAGCATCAATTAAGACAACGTTAACACCCATTAGCTTAAATTGTGGGGATTATTTTGAGTTTTTGTCAGCTAATTTATCTTCCGGGTTTAAAATCCTTATTGGGGTGGGATCAAAATCGGTGATGTAGCGCTAACTGCCTGTCACGTGACGAGTAGGTTTCTAATTATTATTTTCTGAAAAAATTCGGAGGTAGACTTGAACTGAAAAACTGAACTCGTACGAAGTAGCCATTAAACTGATCTCTAATGATCGATTTTGTCCATCCATCCATCCATATCTCTGTCTGTCTGTTTGTCAATAAATAAATCTATACATCTATCAAGCTATCCATACATCTGTGTGTTGATCCATCCATCTATCCATCAATCCATCCACCCATCCATACATCCATCTATCTATCTATCGATCTATCTGTTTAACAATCAACCTATACATCTGTCTAGCTATCATCCATCTGTAAGTTTGTCAATCTATCTGTCTATCTACATCTAGGATGTGCTCAAAGTTTGTTGAATCTGTCCATGTTCAACTTATCAATCAATCAGTCAATCAATCAGTCAATCAATCAGTCAATCAATCAGTCAATCAATCAGTCAATCAATCAGTCAATCAATCAGTCAATCAATCAATCAATCAAAATCAAATCAATCAATCAATCAACCAATCAATCAACCAATCAGTCAAGCAATCTGTTTAACAATCAACCTATACATCTATCTAGCTTTCATCCATCTTTAAGTTTGTCAATGTATCTGTCTATCTACATCTAAGATGTGCTCCAAGTTTGTTCACTCTGTCCATGTTCAATCAATCAATCAATCAATCAATCAATCAATCAATCAATCAATCAAACAATCAATCAATCAGTTTGTCAATCAATCAATCAATCAATCTAATGATCGATTGAAAACATAAAATATATACATTTCCTCGTGAGATCAGGCTGGAATTTTCAGAACCTTATCTATTTTGGATAATAAAAAATGAACAAAAATTTAAACATATCATAAAGAAAAGTTGAATTGAAGAAGAGTTTAATTGAATACGCATTTATTTTTACCAAATTATTCCAATGATTTCTAACAATTTGTTCAGCGACTAATTTGTTCCCAAACCCCTCCTTACCATGATCCTAATCTGCGCTGATTGGTCATATATATAAATAAATATATATATATTTATATATATATATTTATATATATATATATACAACAGTTTTGTCTGGTTCTCAAATGTGATTGGCTGATAGTCGTGCGATATTCTGCAATATCAAAACTCCTACAGCCACTTTACCCTTTGTGTATTACTACACCCACATACAGCCAGCAAAAAGCAGACACTACAGATCTAAAGTTTAAAAGATGCACGCTCAACTGTTTAACTGTCAGCTTATGCTTTGAATCTGGAAGAAAGTAGTTCCTCTTAAAAAAGGGTTTTTGAGACTCTTCATGTTTGATTTTGTTTTTATATACACAACTATGCCATCAAACTGTTGTATAAACACAATATCACACTCATAGCAGTGCGATTTGGCTGTATATTGTCCTAAAATTTTAGGGAACTACTGCCACAAAATCAGCCATTTTAATGCAAAAAAATAAATAAAATAACAAAAAAATGGTAAAAAACTAGGAGGTCTGAAAGTTTGATACATCAGGAAAAAAGTAAAATTAGCCCTTTTCAAAGCTTCTGATTATAACACACATACATGGCTAATTTTGCATGGTATTTAGGTAGCTAAAGCTAGTTTTAATATATTTTTAGCAATCCCACTAAAATGTTAAGCCCTCCTTTAGTACCCCATATAAAAAATCCTGTGGCTTTCGCTGGGTGTAAATGTGAAAACAATGTCAGAGTAGTTCTACAGAGCCATATTTTGTTTTGGCTGACTAAAAATGCTTTACTAATATTTATTACTTTTAAATATTTAGTACTCTGATTATCATTTAAAACCCAACACAAACCTTTGAGACCAGGTCAATGTTGAACCGGCGTCCCTCTTTCAACAGCTTTTGATATGTTATCTTCTTCTGCAGCTCTGCAGGTGGATCTGCTGGGCTTCTGTTGGGCTGTTTCTCCTCCATTGACTGGCTGTGTTCAGAAATATCCGATGCATGTAGCTGCTCTTTTGGCGCAGAATCTTCATTCTCTTCATTCTGCACTTTAACATTTGATTCTGTAACATCATCACTTGTAACCGTGTCTTGAGTTTCTGTAGAGTCACTGTTGGTCTCTTCCGATACAGTTTCAGCATTCGGACATGTTAACAGGTCTTTGGTTTCCTCTTCTTGCTCCTCTTCCTCACTATTAAGGACACAACAATTAGCTACACCATCTAAAAGACTAAGAAAATGATGATAGGACTTTTTAACATTGATTATACATTAAGATAACAAATGCATGTTCTTCGTGGAGTACATAATGGAAGTCCTTTGAAATTGTCTACTACACTATACAATGCGATCCAAAAGTTTGATTTTTGCTTTCTTTCCGGCCATAATAAATCTAAAAATAGAATTGCAGGCAAATTTAAACATTTTACATTCATTTTCCTAGAACTGGAATGATATAAAAGTTTAAATATTAAAGTAAACTACATACATTATGAATGTAAAGTATGCAAAATGCTTAAATGTGATGGAGAACATTTGATTCTGTAAATAAATGCTGTTTATCCTATTGTTAAACCTTTCAAAGCAATAAGAGAAATGACATTTTTCCACCATTCTGTGCTTTATCTCAAGATACTAACCAGAAATCAGATTCCACATGACATAAAGCAAAGTTTTATGTCGTTATCATATTGTTGTGTTTAAAGAGTGAATGGAAAATTCTGTGAAATATCACAATAACAGAACTGACAAATAATTAATCTTCTTTTAGGACAGAAACGCCCAAACTATAGGGTCCGTAGGATAAATTTGGCCCATGGATCTTTGATTTGACCCATCATCCCATTTAAAAAGAGGAGAATGATGGGGATGCGGTTGAAGAAAATGCCTTTTCTTTTTTAATAAAATCTTCATTATTATTATTATTTTTATTATAATTATTATTGCTTTATTGTTGAGTACAAAAAAGCAAGCTAAAATTTAATGTTGTAAATGAATACGATTTTTAAAATGTAAATACTGCCACCCAACAGGCTGGCTGCTGTATTCAGCATTGAACTCCATTGTGTTATAAAGGGGATTTTTTTTTATGCTTTTAAGTTCATTATAAAATTTTAAAAATTGTATTGCATTAGTTAATAGCATTTGATAGCAAGTAATGTTTAGTGACAACATTTATATATTAGGAAATAAATTATGAAATTACAGAGGCATATTAATTGCAAAGCTGTTTGGTATATTTAACAAATCTAAAGTTTAGTTTTTGGCCCTTCATATAAAAAAATCTGGCCACCTCTGTAATATGATATCTTAAATACTTTGCATAAATCATTGAGAGAATAATAATGGCATGCCCCAATGCAAGACGTAAGATTGAGGAGGTGGAGACGGTCTAAAATAGGTATAGGGGGAGTCAACAAAAATATCAATTTTTAAGATAATTTGATATAACGTGTAATTCAAAACGATTTCTAAAAAAACATAACAAAACATTTGAAAATAACATACACTAAAAAATAATGGGTTCTACACGATCCATTCATCTCATTCAAATCAAGCGGCAACCTCTCACTCCCCCTCGTGAAGCTAATACTGAAGCAACTGAAACGGCAAATTTATCAAAATTCTGGTAGTCCTTGCTCCCTAATAGAGCAAATATCTATTGACCCTGCAGTTAAAATGGCCAACTTTACGACAGAAAAAAAAGGTTTTTACAGCCTGGTACAAAGAACGCTTTTGGTTCATATAGCTAATATTACCCTTCATGACAACTGTGAGTGAGGTGAATTTTTATTTTAAAACTCATACGTTTCGTTTATACCACTTTGCCACTTGAGTGACAGCTAGGTCTCGCTGGTCGCCGTCACTTCAAGTCAGCTGATTCTGGCTGATTTGCCGCTGAACTCGGCATATACTGTACATCTTATTTTTGTTATGTTTTATTTGCCTTTACACCGTCAATTGCCTTTTGGAATTATTTCTTACAATTATCAGATGATATGGCATGCTGTATGCACTTCATTGTGCTCACAAACCATATATGTTGCATCCATTTTCCAGGTGATTGAAATTATATTCTTATATATCATATCTACAAATGTATTTGTTTTATTTAAGATCATTTATATTTTTCTTTAGATCTGTGCTGCACTCCAGAATCTGAAAGATTGATTAGCTGTAGGCTATAGAACAATCATCTAATACGTTGTCATACAGGGTTACTGTAAGCATCGATTTTCATAAAAAGCCTTGCATTTACTAACACATACTATATTTTAAGTGTTTGGAAGTAATTCGCATTTTTCTCCTGTAGAAACATGTCATAAGAACACGGTTTAGTGGCTCAATGCATTACAACAGTGTTTTTAAAAAAACTAAACACTTTATTGATATATTATACAACCAAGCACATGTGGTCAGAACTCAAACGAATCGCAGGTAATGAAGTATTAAATATTTCTCCCAAGGAAAAGCCTGTCTAAGCAAAATGCTAACATGCGTCTGTAGCTCCACGCATGCTCCACCTCTTTGCCCTTATTTGGTTACCCTTGGTTAGAGCGATGACACGTGAACAAAATGGCGCCGGTTAGCCACGCCCACTCACAGCTTCATTTACGCCCTTTAGAAACCTATGGGTGATGTCACGGATCCTACGTCCATACCTTTTACAGTCTATAAACTAAACGCAAATTGATTAGGATAAATAAGTCCTTAAACAACCAAAGAACTGTGTTGTTTCAGCTTAGTTTAAGTAGTTTAAACAAGCAGCAAAAATAATTTTTTTAAGTGTATATATATAAATTTAATTGTGAACATTTTTAATGGCTGGAAACGAAGCCAAAAAAAAAAAAAAAAAAAAAAAATCTTTTTATTTCTTTCTAATTTCCGTTTCCATAATGTCTTCCTAAATTTTTGTTTTACTAGCCATTATTGTGGGCTATACTACCCCTTATTTTTATTCCTTATTCGTCAGTAGCTTTGGATAAATGTGTCTGCTAAATGAATAAATATTAAATGTAAATTGAATCATTTTTGTAATCACATATTCTTTTAATGCTATAATACATTATACATATTGTTATTATCAGGTCCAAATTTTGGAATGTTTAGATAATTTCTGTCCAGAAAGCAGTCATAACCAAAGCAGATTTAATTTGCAAATCAGACCAAGCTAATCTAAACATTGTTTTAACAAAGCAATCACACGAGAGTTCATTTTAACTGAACTAAACCCACCAGACAGACAGACAAAACATACAGAACCTGCTATCATAAATTTGCAAAGGACCTGTTTTTGACTTGTGCAAACTGTAAGCAAAACAAAATTAATCCTAACCTGGCATAACAGAAAACTTCTAAGTTGGAAATAGAAGAATCGACAGAGTTAAGAGGCACCACTTCTTCCCCATCTTCAATCAAGCTCCTCCATTCTTGCTCCGACTCTGTGATCTGAAGCTCCTGCTGATTCTGAACACACAATAGTAAACAAAACCACACATTAGCAACAACAAAAAATAATAATAACAAATAATAATACACATGGTTTAAAAAAAAATGAAAGAATTTTAAAATTATATTATTAAGTTATATTGGTGCAATGCTCATAGTCTAGAAACATATAATATAAAAACCTTATATTCCTCAATCCACGACAGCAGGCCATTAAAAGTGAAGCTTGCCCAGTTTCCAGCGTAATAGTTCCTCCTGTAAATAAAAATTAATAATTAATTCACTAAACATCACTAAAGTCTTTGTGTGCATCGGTTTCCACAGATATCATTTCATAGTCATTGGGAATCTTTACTTGAAAATACAAAACAAAAATACATCAAATAATACAGTATATAACCCCTTACCTGAAGTATATTCAATATTTCATGTCATTTTCACTTTTTGAACATGGACATGAAAATGACATTTAAATGATTGCCAATATTCAACGTTTTGGTACACCTACACCTGGTCTTATTTTAAAGAAAACACTGTAGCTGAAGTGAAAAAGTTTGAAAAGTTATCGGCCTTTATATTTATGAAAATAATAAAACAACAAATGTATATTTTATTTTATTACATAACACGTTTATTTACAAAAGCCTGTTTTAGCCTATTATTGACAGAACATCAAAGATAAATATTTGAACAAACTACATTCCAAATTTAAAGATATCTAAAAAAAAATAAGCAGTCTGTTTAAGTATCAGACATGACCACCATGACTCAGAGTTTCCATTGGTGACCGTACAAGACCCCATATTTTTGTTTATGTTTTGAGGAATATGTATGATACTTTTGGCAATATTTGTAAATCAGACATAAAACTCAAAAGTAGTATGGAAAGTTTGGGGATATTTGATTTGAGTTTAGCTTCTAAAACTGTTTTTTACAAGTGGATTGCTGTAGCAAAGTAGTGCTTTACGACTCTGATCATACCCGTCAACCCTCCCATTTTTTCCAGCATTCTCCCCTGTTTAACAGTTCTATCACGCTATAATCCCGTAAAGGTATCTTGCCGTTTTTCTCCTGTATTTTCAATCTTTCTATGAAGGGTGGCAATAAAGAGAAACCCATAACGCCATATCACCAGGGGACACCCCTTGCTGTTAAATGTAAGTCTGTTCTTTGCTTCCGTTTTATTTAGGCATGAAAACACTTTGAAATAAATATAAAAACAGATGGATTCCCTTCCTTTCCATTACAGGTGCCTTTCACCTCCTATGCAATCCTTAAAACAGTCATATAATGGTGCGTGACTGTCAGCTGACGCACTCCATCGTGATAAACAGACGCACTTTCCTAAATGGATTTTGTACATGCGATTTTAAGCAGAGCGAAAGTCTAGGTTTTGGGTGTGTTTGAACGTCTTGAACACACATATACACAAAATTAATAATAATAATAATAATATTGAAAGATGTCGATTTTGGTGGGTTTTCTTTCAAACATAAATAATTTTGTCTTAAAAGGGTATGAAAAGTTAGGTAAGCAGTTGAATGCTTTCATTATAATGTTAGATGTGTGCATTTTTAAAGTAACACCTCTGTTATTAATGTTAATGTAATCAAACGAAAAATCTAAACGAGAGATTCATTTGTTGCTCTTTAATCAGAATGTTTAAATTACACAGTAAAGAAAAAGATGAACGAGATTTGATACCTTGATTCTATTGATTTATTTAGCTTTTAATTGTAATTGCTTAAACTGTTTGCTAATTTATTTGCAGCTTTTTCTAATGTAAACGGTTAATTCAATCCATTGTAAATAATAATAATAATAAAACATATTAATGACGGTTTATTTACAATGAAAGAGCTCCAGATGAACATATATAGTATTTAATATAATATTTATTTGTTTTCTTTTTTTTTACAGGGGGGTATCCCTTATTTTCAAATCCCAATGTTGATAGGCATGACTCTGATCCTTGTTTCAAATTAACAAATAACTGTTGCTAAGTAATGTATCTCAAAAACCAGTCACCAAATATAAAAACTTAGACTTTTTTAGCTTTCAAATAGGGCTGCACGATACTGGAAAACGACATGGCAATATTGTTTTTCTGCGATTTATATTGTGATATAAACATAATTTCACAAGATAACTTCAGTTACTCTGTTTGGGTAACATCGTTTTACTTTTTCTGGGATACTGTAGGCAAGTGTCGAAAATATAGATAATTAATCAAAAATACATAAAATTGACCAATTAAAGAATGAATGAAAACAATGATAAAAATAAAATAAATCATTTAAAAGTAATTTCATATGTACAATAACACCATGTACTCTTCATTGTATAAATATACACAATCTTTCTTAGTAAAAGTGGCCAACATTATCATTTCTTGTGCCCAAATTGATTAAATTCACTTGAAATCTTGGTCACCGGCCTTGAAAACCCATCAAATAAAAAATATTTCACACTATTATAAAAGGGTTAAACTTTGCAATGAAATTATGCGCTCTGAACTGTAGTTCCTGGCTAATTATAATTCCAACTTGACATATCCTTGTGATGTGACTACTGCAGAATCACACATTGCAATATTGATGATAAAATGATATATTGTGCAGCCCTACTTTCAAATGATATATAGTTTGTCGTGATTCCTTTATGTTCAGCCTAATAATATGGTTTAAATATATAAATGGTCCCTGAGGTTGTAGGGTGACAGTGAATGTGTGTTTATCTATTACTCTAGTAACAAAAAAAACTAAATACAGTGGTAAAACATGCATTCAGAAGTCTTAGACCTTTCCAACGACATATAGTTTGTCATGATTCGATAAGGATTGCAAAAAAGAGATTTAAAATTAACCATGGTGGCAGGTGGCAGGACAGTGACAGGGGTTAATGTGTTAAACCAAATGTTCCAGTTTAATTGATTCTTGAGTAGTACCTGTCCAGATGCAAAACACTTTGTCCAACTCTGGAGCAGGCCGCAGCAATGACAGACTCAGTGAGGCCTGGGAAATGAACACACAGACAAAAAGCATCGTCAATGATCACCATCCTCCTGCCTGACCTCCTTCTGAATTGAATGTTTCACTCAATTTGCGAAATGCGTTCTGTTTCAGGCACGCATGAATGAAACGGCAAAGCGGTCTGACTGCTTTTACAATTACACTGATGCAAACGTAAAAGCATTAAAGCTCACTTGAGGCTTATTCAGAGTAACTGCTGCGGATACGTCCAGTTACAAACAGCAACTCAGCATACGGACGACACGGCTAACAATATTGTAAATTTATTTCATCTTTCATCCCTTATTTCTAATACATTAAATCTAAAATCGACTTATTTCAGCATTTACACAATAGCGGGTTTGCATTGTCAATTCACTTCAAGTCACTTTAAAAAAACCTTAAAGAATCTACAAACATACCTGTAAGAACTGCCAACACATAAAATGTGCAATTACAAATGAATATAATCATTTTAAAAAGCTTTTTCAATATTATAAAATGCTATTCCTAATTAAATAAATATTTTACAAACATTTTATTAAAAAAAAACTATAATTTTGCTTTGACAAAACAATTTAGTTAAATTGACATTAACCTTAAATAATATTAAAAGCAAAACACACTAATGCACACTAGGCATGGGTCTATAACCAGTTTCAAGGTTTACCGTGGTGTGAAAAAGTCAAGGTTTTAAAACCACAGAAGTTTTCTGTTATACCGTTCGTACAGGTATGTAAGGTTTCTTATGTGTTATAAAGAAATCTGTGCTTTTGAAACTAATGAAGATAGCAGAGGTCAATGATTTGTTTTAATTATTTAGCCTGACATCTTTACTGTTCCAAAATATTATAAATGTTTGCTAAAATTATATAAATATTGTGTTAAAATTGGGCATTTTTTATTTTTTTTACCCAGACATTTAAAAAATGATATTGTAAAACAGTGTTTTTTTTTATCCAAGGTTTTCATACTGTCAGAAACTTATACCGGCCCATGCTTAATACACACTATACACTATATTGACTTCTGAATTGTCATATGTCACATGTACAGAATGTTACAAAACAAAAAGCATATGCATCCCCTAGAGAGGAAGAAAAAAAAAATGAAATCGATGAATCGCAATTCTTTCTCTCAACGATTCTAGATTGTTTCTTAAAATTTCTGAATCGATTCTGTATATTCAAATTATTAAAATTGTAAAGATGTAAATGTACACCAGCAAAAAATAGGAAAAAGATAAGTTAAGAATAAGAACTGGAATCAGAATCATATCAGATCGTGAAGTCCCTAAAGATTTATGAACCAAATAAGAATTTACATATAATTTTAAAATAATAACAATATTAAAAGTAAAACACAATATAATGTTGGGTATCACCATGAAACTAAAGAATAATTTACATATAATATAAAAACATATACAACAATAAAAGCAAAGCAAAACATACACACTATAATTAATTGACCTCTAAATTACTTTATTAATTTCTCATGCCCCAATATGTACAGAACATTCAAATACAAAACAAAAATCTTGGGGATCACCATGAAACCAAATAAGAATTTACATAATATTTTAAAAGACTAATAATAATAATAATAATAATAATAATAATAATAATAACAACAACAACAACAATAGTTTTCCCAGAGATGGGTTGCAGCTAGAAGGGTATCCACAGCGTAAAACATATGCTGGATAAGCTGGCGGTTCATTCTGCTGTGGCAATCCCAGATTGATAAAGGGACCAAGCCAAAAAGAAAATGAATGAATAAAAAATATATTATAATAATTTATTGACTTTTAAATAATTTTATTAATTTCTGATGTCGCAATATGTACAAAACACTCAAATACAAAAAAAAAAAAAAAAAAAAAAAAAAAACTTGGATATCACCATGAAACCAAATAAGAATTTATGTAATATAAAAAAGGTAAATTAAATTAAATATAAATAATAATCAAAGTAAAAAATACATAATTCATTGACTTTTAAATTTATAGAACAAAAGAGCTAAAACTGTCATGAAGTGACCTCCAGAGTCCAGACCTCATTGTAATACTATAGAGGCAGTATGGGATTGCCTGGACAGTATGGGATTGCCTGGATATCACGGTAGATCCGTGATCCGTGACTTTACCCGCGGATTAATAACTTATCTTGAACTTGTTAATACAACATTTATAACAATTGCAGAGAGATCGCCTTCCACGTCATTTAAATAACATCCATGAAAGCATTTTGGCTTACCAGCAAAATATAATGATGACGGAAAAAGTTGTGGTGGGACCAAAATACTTTCTTAGGTTAATATTTAAAGGTGTTTTCTGTAAGTGTTTGTTTAGCCTCCATTAATGCATTCAGACAAAAGCTGCACAATAAAACATAAAAAAATCGTAATCTTAATTCAAACCCACGCTACATAAATGATAAATGATAATGATTTGCATATGTTTATTTATCACTCGAAGCGTTGCATTCAAATCTGCGTTAGATAGAGATTCAGTTTATACACTTTTTCAGTTCTTACAAACAATTAAATAACACAGAAGAACAGGGAGAACAGTTTATAGTTCAGATATAAACAATGATGTTTATGGTAAAGATTAAAATCAATTTAATGGAACTTGACGCTGTTGAATGTTGTAGCAATTACATTATTTAGCCCATACACTAAAAAAAAAATCAACTAGGCATGTATTGGATTTACAAAATAAAAATTTGTCAGATTGAAAAGAACAAATCAAGTTTAAGTATGTTAAATGATTAATTCATGTTATTTGAAACTGAATCAAGAAATAATCAAATGAATTTGATCAGAACATGTTGATTCAATGAGACTGAGACGCTTCAAATCGACAACTCTCACTCTGGAGAGTCACTTCGCGCATATCAGTAGGTGGCGGTAGTGCGTTTGGATGTCACCATACGAAAACAACAAGAAGTATTACCGCGTGTTTTCGGCACAGTTTGGAAATTGGTTTTCCCAAGAGCTTGAATGTTATGCATGTTATGTTGTTGGCTATATGTTTCCTATACATTTTATACTTTTACATTTTGAATAGGAGTACCAAAGTGAAGAAAGCTGTTTAAACTCAATTGGTAAAAAAATTATGTTAACGTCCTACAGGTATTGCTTGGGGATCAGTTTTCTTAAGAGCCACGGTTATTTTGTTGGCTAAATATTTCTTATACATTTTATATTACATATTAAAATTTTGGATATTATATAACATTTTGTATCAGAATATAAAAGAAGAAATTTGTTTAAATGTGATTGGTGCCTGCTAAAAGCTATAATAAAAGAAATCATCATACACCCAGCGCAGTGTGGCGCAAGACGCGGCGCAATAGTCTTTTGGTAGTTTCAGCTTGGCGCAAGAGTCGTTTTGAGGCGTTGCACTATGCTGTTTAAATAGCAAATGCATTAGCGCTCATTTGTGCGCCCATAGGCGTTCTGGTCTAAAAAGGGGGGTCCCCAAAAGAATTCGCCCTACACAAAGGGGCCCTCAGCTGAAAAAGTTTGAAAACCCCTGCATTACACCACTAATACACACAAATATATGATGTCAAAAACTTTTATTTTGCATGTGATTCATCTTTGCCCTGTCCTAATTCTGACCAAATAATATGAAGGGCTTTTATTTTTTTATTACAGAAACATGCAATAGTGAATCAGCAATATGAATATACGAGTGTGCGTCGTGAAAGTCAACAGGGTGAATTTCAATGTCAAGCCGTTAAATTCGGACGAGGGGTTTTCGGTCACTCTGCAGGAGAGCATGTGGGTGTCTTGTATCCCAGGATTCTCCATCAGTGAAATGGCCAGTGCTGGGGAAGATACGACGGGCCTGCTCGGAATAAATCACTTTTCCATTGTGTGTGTGAGATGGGGCTGTGCAAGGCCAGATGAAGAAGAAGAAAGATGGAGGGACAGGGACGCTTCAGCGGCTTAATGGAGTTGTTTTCGGCCCCGCTGCTGCTCAATCTTGCTCTCAGGGACCCCACGCGTTCCGTCTGCCTTTTTAGTGCGGCTTTGAGAAGTATGTAAACTTGAGCTTAAACCGTGTGTGTTCAAGTAAATGTACCAGTTGAATCCATAATACTTGGAATCTATTGGTAGCTTTTTTATCTACGGACACTTATTTGTTCATGTTTACTTTATGTAAATGACTGGGTGCAGATACTGTCAAGTGTATTAGTGGCCTTTGCAATTACCAGATTCATGTCAAACATAATTTCAATAAATACATGTCACTTGCTTAATTTTGCAAAATTCAACAAATTATATTGTGATTTACATCATTATCATCATCATCAACCTTATTATTATAATTTTAAATATTACATTATTATTATATGATATAAAAATAATACTATTTGGTTTCATGGTGATAACCAGGATTTAGAAGCCAATAAATTATAGTGTGTAGTTTATTTTACTTTTATATTTAAGCTTTAATAACCTTTCAAATGTAAAACTGGTCTCTGCATTAAGATACTGTATAAACACAGGAAAAAGAAAACTATAAAATTACTCATGCTAACAAATGACAGTATTTAGTATTTATCATTCATATATTTAGTATTCATTCATATACCAGAACCAATCATCATCTAATTTATGTGTTTATTTTCTGCTTTTTTCCTCTGTCCAGGCAAACCCATACTGCCTCTAAAGTACATTAAGGTCTGTACACTGTCACTGTACACTGCCACATAATGACAGTTTAAGCTGTTTTGGTCTATAAATATCCTTAATACCTTTGAATATTTATATTCATAACCAATATAATTATCAAAAACTATAGAAAACATGTCACTCGTATTGTTTTTAATGGGGAAAAGTGTAGTTAATATGGTACATGAAGCCCTGCCTTCTAGTACAGAAGCCAATCATTGATCGCTATAGACTGCCAATACTCCGAGGGAGGGGTTTAGACCAGACGCAAGCTTCTTCAGATTTTGTGTGATACGAATGTTTAGAAATGAAAC